AGAGCACTGTCATTGTCTTGAATTCACTGAATGATCTTTCGCAGAAATCTTTTCTGCCTCAGATTCCCCAGTCTGTAATGAGGGCCACCCAGACCTTCAATGCATATGCCTAGGCAGGAATTTTTTGGAGGAGTGGAGGCTGCCCAGACCTTCCATCCTCCCTTTAGGCCACTGAGACAGAATCTGAAGACCAGACTGAGTCCAGGTGTTTGGTGCCTCCATGGCTGTAGTTAAATAAGTGTCTGGGAATTTAACCCAGGTCTCCTGCATGGTAGATGGATTCTACCACTGAATCACAGGGGACTCCAGATTTGAGTTGGTAACCCTGAGGGAAAGCATCTATATCCCAGTTACTCCTGTTTCTCTGAGCTTTCTAGTCCTTCTACAGATGAAGCATTAACTGCTCTCAGCAGCATAAGGATGGGGAGGCAGAGTGGTGACGTGTGGCACATGAGCCCTGCCTAAGGGGGAGGAAGGGAAAGAAAGAAGATGCCAGAAGGGATGGGGATCCACCTCACCCTCCTGTCCCTTGCTCTGCCTGTGTTTTCCTGCTCCAGCTCCTGAAGCAAGCTGTGGTGGCATAGGAGCATGTGGCAGTGAGCACAGGACACTTGGAGAACTGTAGTTCTGTAGAGTGGCAGCAGAGATCACAGCTGCTCCGTGGAGATGTCGCTGCCAAGACCTGGAGGTTTTTTGCCTGCTTGACATGGGCATCTGTGGCCGAAAAAAAAAGTGGTGATATCTCCCCTCAGCAGCAGGGAACTTCAACAGCTGCTCCAGTGCTCTGCTCACTGCCAGGGACTCTGGAGCCAAAAGGTACAGCAGGGGGAAAGGGGAAGGAGGACTGCCAGGGAAACAGTCCTAGCCAGCTCCACCTCTGACTGCTCCAGGTTGCAGGCTTTGTTTTGGGACACGAGGAAACTGAGCTTTGTTTTGGGACACCATGGAACTGATGAGGGGCGTAAGCCTTTGATGCTCGATGAATGCTTGGAAGCTCATCTCAACAGAAGTACATTTCAACACACTGCCCTGATCTGTAGCGGGTGAAATGGGAAAACAATTCTGCCGTATTTCCAAATGGACCATTGTTCGCTACTCTTGTCAGTCAACTCAGGCCTAACTGCCCACAGACATATACAAGGCTGCAGTCAAACCTTGGAGGTGGATCCTCCGGGGTTTTTCACTTCTGATCTGTGGAAGACTCCAAACTGCCCCTTTGACATGTTTGTATTTCAATGCTTGTCCCAGGTACCTTGCCAAGAAAATGCAAGAAAGAGCTGCTGGCAGTCAAGCTACGAAACAGGCCAAGCAAGCAGGAGCTGGAGGACAGGAATATTTTCCCAAGGCGGACAGATGAGGAGCGACAGGAGATCCGGCAGCAAATTGAAATGAAACTCTCAAAGTAAGTCCCTTTGACAGAGAGGAGAGGCAGATCTTAGAGTAAAATCTCTTCTATGCCTTGTCTTGCAGGACACGTATACTCCACCAAGCCCATTTCCCACGGCAAATCATGCATACAAAGGGCACCAACAGCAGCAGATTTGAGCCTTAGCTTTAGGGCCTTCCTGGGCTTTTGATTTCTGAGTTCACATATTCTGTACCTTACACCAGTCACTCCAAAGACTTGTTAACTCCTCCCTGAGTCAGGATCTCCCTGCCTAAGAGAAAATTCCACTCATAGAGTTAGATTCTGCCCTTGCATGCCTGCCTGCGATACTTACTGAAGTCACTGGGATTTTTAATTCTTTCCAAGTGGGGCATGCACTTGGTAAGAACTGATATAGCCACCAAACTTTGCAGCCTTGTCTATACTGACACTTATCCTCAGCTGGAGCCACCAGCATAGCTACAAACCCCGTTCCAGATAGAGAGAGCTGCAGCATGCCCTGCCAGGGCTAAATTCAGTGTCTAGCAAAGATGTGAATCTACAGGGCTTTCATCATCTGGGTTTATAGATGGGCAGCTACCCAGATGGCTGAAATCTGGGATAACTGCTAATGTGAGACCCTGTTTTTTTTAGGTAACTGGCTTAGCAAAAACACTTAATTGGGCCAAGAGAGCAATGTGGTGTAAGGGAAACCACTGCTCTAGCTATGTTGCCTGAATTTTCCAGAAACAGCTAGCTTCAAATTGCCATGCTTTTTAAAACCGCTAAATATGGATAATCTGCAAACATGAATATTTTAGTTGAGACAAAGTGGATTGTTAAATAATCCGTGCTGCTCCCTCCCACGCTGAATAGCAAGCATTGTCTGACTGCCAAAGAGGTTGGAAGCAAATTGAGAGTTTATCAGAAGTTCATTTTATTAAATATTAATTGTCTGAATCTGCTTTGAAGGAATAATTTGCCATGATCCAGGCCAGAGCAAAGCTAGCTCTCTTTGCTTGTGCATTTAATTTACTTTTGTTTTAGGGGGCTGGAATTGAGACGCAGGTTAATGGAGCACAGTACAATTCCTAATGGATAGGAGCCTACACCACAATACATATCATTCAAACCCCATCTTGTGAAGCTTCCATTTGGGGTCCTGAGCTAATGGAAGGGCAGGTGCATTTTAGGCAGGTAAATACTAAGGTGCAACTTGGATGAGATGCTGGTCTTAATGTTAGTTCCTTGTGAAAAGTTACCATGGGATCTTTAACAGGAGGTGAGAAGCCCTAATTTAGTTACCCAAAACACAAAAAAAGCATCTTTGCAAAGCCAAGCCATTATCAAGTGTTTGCACAATGAAAAGAGTGTCACCTACTGAATCAACAACCCCTTTCTCTGCTGAAGCACCTCTTGGCTCCTTGAAGGTTTTTCCATCTAACTTTTGGCTCTGTCTGACCTGACTTAACTTGTGAGAGCTGCTAGAATCACAGCACAAAGTGGTAGAGCTATGGCTATGGGCCATTTTCCTCTCCGTTTAGGTTGCTTTATAGTGGAAAAGAAAAATTACACTTAAGAGAGATGCTTGAAATCCAAGTCAGCAGAAAGAATTAAGACCTAAGTTACTATGTCTATAAGAGAAGGAGCACAATAGCTAGTCATGACTGGAAGCTGCAGAAGGCAAGGCTTAGAGTCATAGAAAGGTAGGGCTGGAAGAGTCCTCAGGAGGTCACATCTAGTCCAACCCCCTGTTCAAAGCAGGACCAGCCCCAACTAGCCAGGTCTTAAACACCTCCAAGGATGGAGATTCCACAACCACAATAACATCTCAACAACTATCCTCTAGTTATTAATCCGGCAGATAATACCTACAGATAGCTAAAAGCCATTTTCATTCACTGTGACAGAAGACATGCTTTCAATTACCTCCTCCATCTTCCCAGAACTCAGCAGGTTGAGTGCATCTTATGGAACAGAAGGTGCAGAGATAGCTAGAATAGCCCACAATGCAAAACAGATTGGAACCAATCCCCCGCATCATCTCTGAGCACATATGAGAATTGGCACAGTGTGGCTCTTTCCTCCTCCACTTCAGTAGAGCATGATCATGCAAACAAACTCAATTGACAGATACATCCTGGGAAAATATTGACTTGATAAAAAGCAAGCACATGTTAAAGAAATACAGAAATTAGCACCAGTCAAAGCAGTGTCCTAGAGAGATGCTTAGGGAGATGCTGTTTGAATTTATGACCAGAGCTTTCAAGAGGGGAAAAAAAAAAAGCCTGACTTCCCCAGAGAACCCATGTCAGCTTTTACACCAAATTCAGCACTTGCTTTCTTTGACAGGGCTCTATAAATCTAGGCATGTTGGTGTGGATACCTATATAGTGCAACACCAGACTGGTATTTTCGAAGTTCCTTAAATCCATTAGTCTCAATGATGGCTTTATGCTTAAATCCCAGATAGGCTCTGCAAATACCAAGCATGATGAGTGAAGTGTGTAATGGTATAACTTACTACTAAGTGCTCAGATTTAAATATGATCCAAGGAGCTTTGGATCTAGCAGCTAATTCTGATGGAAATTACTATTCTCTGTAAGATTTCACCACTATCTATGTGGATGCTAGTACATTGCAGTGACTACTTCATTGGTAGCATTGTGAGAAAAATGTTTAGTAGAGACCTCAAGCCCCAGTCCATGCTCTGATTCCATATTAGTCTGATAACAAACTAAGAGCTTACCATTGCCCTGCAAGATGAGTGGTGACTCCTTGCTTGATAGCCATCTGTAATTCCCATAGAGACTTGTCAGTGGACAGGCAGCTGTGTCCCAGATCCAATCCACACAGCTGTATCTGAAGAGTATGTAGGAGTCCACAGATATCTACCAAAATGCCTCCATACCATCGGTAAACAACTAATTTTACGAGAAGTGAAGTTCTGTATCCTAAAAAGGAGAGATGCATTTCTTTAAAAAAAAAAAGCCTAAAATACTGACATTAGAGTTGGTCAAAAAAGGGAAAACTTAAGAACAAATGAACACATGTTTATATCAAACGAATATACAGTGAGAGAATTGACTGTGCTGATGAATGCTCAGGCAGTGAGAGCTACAGCATCTCTTTTCCTCACTTTCCTCATTAAACACTCCATGTTGAGCCTGAGGGTCAAAATCTGCCCTTTATACCGGTGTAAGCCCACTGACTTGCACCGGTATAAAAATCAATAGGTTGTCATTGAGAAGTGAAGACAAGGTATGCTTGCTTTAAGAGATGTGCATTATTGTTTCTACCTCTCTGCTTCTAGTCAAATATGTCAGCCACCTGTTGTCATGGAAACATATCTCCCCCCTGCCATCATGGGACTGAGATGTCAGTATTCCAATTTCCCCTAGATTTCCTCTTTCAGTAGGACTCACTCCCACTAATGCATCCATTTCCAATGCCCCAGGCCAGACATACCCTGGTAACATCCTATTCTGTGCTAGACAACTGAAGTTCTGATGCTCCAAGCTCTTGATAGTCCCCATTTCCCTTTATTATGTTTTCTGAGTACAGATAATGTGTCCACAGTGCAACTCAATGAATTGAACTATTTGTGTCAAAAGGTAAAAAGACATTTGCAAGTCATGCAAATTACTGCTTTCTGTATTATGGACTTTGTTTCTTCTGCAAGGGAAAGCTGGAACCTGGAGGAGTAAAACAGGCATTAGAATGAGGAGCAATGCAGAAAAGGTTGTTTAATTAGATTTGGAACAACGATACGAATGATTATTTCAAAAGTTAATATTTGAATATCTTGGTGACGCTTACTTGCACAGTATGCCTTATATCACTACAGCCCAAGACACTCCATTATTACTTAATGTTTCCATGAAAACACGAGTTCCTAGAACAGATTATAATTTTGCAATTTTCACATCATCTTCTGTTTCACTCTCTCAGGCATAAGTAGACACGATTCACTAAGCAATATTCAGGAGAGAGATGTAGAGATAGGAACTCCAATAAGCAATACATGCACTATTAGGATTTGGACAGGAGAGACAAGTGCCCGGAGCGTCTTGTGTATCAGCATGTCCGCGCTTCAAAACAGCAGTGGAGTGCTTTATTTAAAGCTTGTTGAATGAACTTTAGATAAAGCACCCCTGCCACCTTTTAAGTGCAGGATGCTGATCCAGGAGATGCTGGAGTGCAGTAATTACTATGCTCCAGCAGACTTGATTAATCAGCTTTTGGGTATTTTTTTTACAAAATTACAGCATGTAATTACAGTGCACTGGAGTACCTCCCTGCTTGTATATAGGCGCCCATAAGCTCTGAAGGCAGGATCTTTACACGTAAATGGTTCTGTAGTTTCAGGTCCTGGAAACATATCTCGGAGTGGGGTTTCACAGAATATTGCTTACTTCTCATCCAGGGGTGAGAGTGCTAATGTAACAGATTGCATCCCTGAGGCACAAACTGGTTTGTATCACTGAATCACATAGGGCGGAACAATATTTATGGCACTGCAATATTCCAAAATTGCCAAGCAAGGAACAACTAGTAATTTAAAGGTGTGAGCTGCTACAGTGCAGTTCAATGCAATCACAGACATGCAGAGAGATTTATACAGCGCTATTGTCATGCAGCTTTGGAAGTAAATCACAGTGCGAATCAGGCTCGGAGTGCTTGCTTCATCTAACCTCACCCTGTACTCTCTGAGTGGCTCGGGTGCAGCGGAGGAGCTGGGCCAGAGGAAATGTTCTCCCGTGTCCCAAACAAATTATGCTTATCTGCAAAACAAAAGCTGCGACTGCTTTTCAGAAACTGCATGCACCAGTGGTTTCCTCTTCTGAGTGCTACATCCTAACACTGCCCAGCACAAAGTCATTGGCCCTGCACCATGAACTCTTTGTGAAACATGATCTCTCTCATCCCTGTCAGGTTTTTACAGCTCTATTCTATTCAGTTCTAATAGGTTTTCTCTGTCGCCTGGGAGGAATTAATTAATATCACAAAATAATTGCGAAATCCCATGGCATTG